CAGCATTCCACTCGGTTGATCGACCTGCTTTATGGCTTTGTTTGCCAAAGAATGGGGTCCCAGAAAAGTACACTACCATCCTACGCGCACTCTACCTCCACATCTCCGGCAGAGTGAGGGTCCATGGGAAGCTTTCGTCGTCATTTGCTGTCAATAGCGGTGTACGATAGGGCTGCCCTTTGTCCCTGTTCCTCTTCAATTTTGCGATTCAAGACGTCCTATCAAGAGCTCTGGAAGGCTACAAAAAGTTTGGTCTGCAGTTACTACCGGGAAAGCGAGTGACCGAGTTAGCTTATGTCGATCACATCGCCCTACTTGCTGACCACTCACAGAGCATGCAGACCATCCTAAACTGTTTGGCAATTGAGGCACCTAGCTACGGAGTATGCTTTCACCATTCGAAGTGCAAACTGCTGCTTCTGGATTGGCACTCCTCTGTTGCCTTGCTCACTCTTGAAGCTACACAGTTTGATTACGTAGATAGTTTTGTCTACCTGGGTGTCTGTTGGTGGTGGTCTTCTGGAAGTTTCTCTCCGCATCGCCAACGATCGGTCGGCGTTTATCAACCTGAAACACTTGTGACGTCGTCGGGATGTCTTCCTCTTGGTAAATGGTTGTGTTTACAAAGCTACCATCCGGGCGTTGTTACTATATGGAAGTGAGTCGTGGCCAGTTCACGTGGATGACATGCGCCGGCTCTCGGCCCTGGACAATGGGTGCTTGAGGAGAATTGCTCGTATGTGGTTGCAACAACGTATCTGTAACGGCGAAGTCGAACCTCGTGTAGTAAGAAATGTGAATATTCCCCCAACAAGCTGATTTCGCTGCGTTAGTTACAATGACTTGGTCACATCGTGCGTATGTGTCAGCTTAGCACTTATCCCATTGCGCACTTTTCGTTAGTGCAGGACTTGACTGGAAGAGACCACGTAGTGGTCAGCCGTCCACCTGGCGACAACATGTGTAATCGTTGACTTCACATCTTGCTGCCGTTGAATCCACACCTTTGTCTGGTTGGAGACCAGAGGACGAGGAATGCTGATGGCTGGAAAAAATTCAGGATATGGCGCTCTATCGAAATCGGTGGAAGGTCTGTGTACATACTTATTTAGATTCAGATGCTTTATACTTAGCAATTGAAAAAGCAAAATACATTAAAAGTAGCTTGTGCGCAATAACGAAAATGTTTTCTATCATTATCAGACTTGTCTTCTTCCGGTGATCTCCATGCTTTTTCTGGACTCTATGTCTATTTATTAGACTTTTGTTAATACACAAATACCTACATCGTAACATCCCAAACATCTCAGTTCTGTTCAGCTCAGTTAAGTAACGATGTTCCGGGCACCAAACTGCAGTAGATCCTGTTGGCGCAGCACGTGTCGCCCGAATAGGAACAGTTGGTGTTAGTGAGAAATAGGAAACAGCACAAGCCGATTGCAAAGTGAGTAAATTCAATCGAATCGAAGTATTTACGCCTACATGCAAGGACTAGAATGCAACAGCTTCATTGACTGCTCGAGTGCGCCACTGTATAGTCCATCCTGAGGTTTCCATCCATCAAGACAGTACTGCAGCGGTCCGATCAAATCTACACCGAATTTCTCCATGGCTTTATACCATCACTTCAGCTGACCAACTTGCGGTGTAGCATCAGCATATGATTCAGGGTGAGGAAGGCCGTCATTGAACATCCGTAAGATGTCCCATAATCAACGTAAGCAATTCAAGCCTAACAGGTAGTTCAGTGAGGCACCAGTGAATTCTTGAGAATCACGAACCGGCGGACCTTAGTATGCTCACTCAAAGTTCCCACCAGAGTTAAGCAACAGGGCGCAAGAATCAGTGATCAAGAATAACCAACCACTCATATTGTGCAATACCAAGTTGACATGCATGTGTTCCTCACAATAACACCACATCGTTGTACAGCCTTCCTTTGACTGGCGGGCTCATTTTACGTCGTCTCCAAAGATATTTAGACCCCTGAAAAGCCACACGGCTCTGCTGATACGCGAAGTAATGTCGTTAGTGATGTGACCTCCAGAGGTGACCAAACTACCAAGCTAAGTGAACAGATCCAACACTTCCACTAGTTGTTTGCAGATAGCAAGCACCGTTGAGTATCGGTCCAGTTTTGCATCAGTACTTGCCACTTTGAAACTACAAAGTACATACCGATGTTTGCAGTACTAGGTGTCATCCCATACAGTACTGCTTACCATGCCAGTGGTTCCGAACCATGTAGAGCTATCTTCACCCACTTACACTGATATAGATCGCAAGTTGAAGTAATAGAAACACGAAAATCCTAAAAGTGGACACTATTTATGGTGAGGAATTTAGGAAACAGCTTCTTGTAGATCTTGGATCGGTCTCGTGATTCACGATGGATCGACTTCATTACTGAAAAGAATTTCCGATACGCATTACGCGAGTATGCAGTGCCACAAGGTGTCACAATCAGCAGAGTCGGGAGCTGCTTTTGGGTCAAAAAATCTGCCATATTCGATTGTCTTTTCTCGGCAACTTGACGAAGAGTATGTATGTGACCATTGCACCCTCGATCAGGACGAAAGGTAGTTTGACTCTCAGTGATTCGTCGTGAAGTGTACCTATGAGGACTTTGGAAGTAGTTATTACACTAAGTTCTTCGATAGGGAAGATGATTGACAAACGCCAGTTTGAAAGCTCCCTTTCAATGTCCCAGCTAGTGGGTTACCCCTATCATTTAGGAAAAATGGATTTTGTTCGTTGGGTGTAAGCGTCTTATTTTGTTTCAACACGGCGAGCCCATGTAGAGTCTCTTCCAAAGCCTGTGATATTAACCTCCTACGTCTGCTCTGATGATTCTAACACCCCAGTGTCGCAACAGGCTTGCTGAACTACTCTTTAAGATGATTCGCTCAACGGCCTAGTTTATGAGGCCGAAAATGGATTAGCTGTCCGTTTTTCTCAGCTATTATCTCAATAATCGGTGTCTTTCTCTGACCCGGATGAGCTGGAGCAGTAATCGGCTGTTCGAAATAGCCTTGACCTGCTCTATCTCACGGGCCCTTGCCACCCACCAACGTTTTTGGTCTATTCGAAGATTTCGTACCAGTCGTCGTCGATTTTTTTCCATTCTTATTAGTTTAATAATAATGTATATCCTCGGTTTTACGATGCATGCCCTACTCGGCATGATCATATTGTTACAATTGTTTCGTATAGTTTAATAGCATATTCCACATGTCAAACAAATAAAAAAACTTTTATCCGACAGTGTTTTGTAGTTCAAAGCCTTGTTTGGGCACGGCACATATCGTAGCATCCTAACGGAGATCTCCCTGTACGGACGGAACCTAGTTTTCATTTCCTTGTGTAAAGGATGAGAAGCAATTTTGATTACAGGAGAAGATTAAAGCTGAAATCATACAATATAAACAAAGCTTCTGATATAGTTAACTCATTTACTATACATTGTATTGTCCTAAAAGGATTGGTGAAAGACGGGGGTATTTATTTACTTTCATTTCAGCAGCTGTACATATGGGCTGAGACAGCTAAAATAGGAAATTTAGCTGTTGTGTGTGAGGTGAACATACTTCCTTGCTTCTATTTTCTTTACATTCTACTATCTTTTAGCCCCACTATCTTGCTGTTGTTATTTATTGTTATTCCTGCGATGTGGGTCGTGGCAACTGGATCCACCGCACTTCGGTGCTCGGATCATAGTTGACCAACTCAACTGTTGTTTCAGAGCTTTACGGATACGCCGAAACTAAGTACCTATTGGAGCCTATTTTACTAATGGATTGAAGATCATAGTCATCAAATGCTCACCGCAGCTGGTTTTCTTTGGAGTCGCCATAGTGAAACTATGGCGATTCCGTTGCGTTGTATCTGTTACGCATGGTCTTCCACTCACTTCTCATCGAGTTTTGATTGCTCTGGCTCGATAGGTGGTGTTAAGGCAACTGGTTTCGCTCCACTTCTGTGCTTAGACTGCGGGAATGAACTGGCCTGAAGAATTCCAGCAGCAGTGAAGGTGGAGTTGAGGTGACAGTGTAAGGTGAGCACATGGGTAAATCGATCAGAAATTAAATGCTACCAGCCGAACCATAGGGATCAAACTGTTCACTTGGATTCGGACCAGCAACACAGTAGTTGCAGTGCATAGGCAATTCCCATTTCCATCCTCAAGCGATCATTGCATGTAGGAATCATCCGAGGCGACGACTAATCACGGAGATACAGCCAATCACGATCAGCCCTCAATTTCTGGTTCAATGTTTTGCCATTAGGAAATTCTTCCAGATGAACCAACTTTGCTATCCTTATCATCACTCTCTGCGGATTACCCGCCAGCACAAGGAGCGCTCAGATCCAGCGGACCCGTGCTATTGCTCACGAATAGAACGATGCAAATAAACAGAGAGGATGAGCAGACGTACCGCATGCACTATTGCCGGTGAATGTGGAGCTTTGCTTGTATTTGAGTCTGCAGAATGGGCGTTTTGCTGAGATGCACTAGATACATTTTGATAATATATTTCGTCCATGTGCGGTAGGAATATTCATCGACTTGCATCGTTTTCGCTGATTATATTATGAACTCTAAACTCCGCCTCGGATTAACCCGATTTTCCCCATACCTCTAATAATCTTAGAGTTGACTAGTTAACTTGCGAACGGAATGCGTGAAGTAATTTGTTCAGTTTAATGAAGCTTGTCTAACCAGTATGACCTCCGTATTATCGTCAGGTGTTTCCTCTCCTCATTGGTGATGTGACACTGTCACCAAACATGTCATACAATTTTGAACTCTGCTTACTGAACAGCCCTCTGCCGCGTGGTGCTACCGGTGCTTATTTGGGATATTATTTACCTTCTGCTGTTTGACTTTGATGTCTAACTTAGTACTGTTTGAGGCGCAGGTTTCATGCTTTACCAGCATGCATTCTGTCTGTGATAAGTGTTCTCATACTGAATTCGATCCCATTTTCCCTGTTCGTCAGAACTGGCTCGTGGATGTTGCTTGGAGGAATTTCGGTGGGACTCTGGCTCTAGAAGTTCATCATGGCCGTGGAAAGAACATCTTCCCAATGACAGCTTGGCAAGTTGATCACGTCTTTTGCTGCATAACTAGTCATCTTTGCCATATTTTTAATGACGTAACAATGTAAGCTGTACCCATTTTCACTATCCTTCAGATACTCTTACATATGTTTGCCACTTACATGGACTTGCGGATGCCCCCTCATCCAAAATGCCCAGCTGGTCGCGTATTTTCTCAATTGTGCATCGTACGATATCCGGACAAACCGGGTAAGTTTCTTTGCTATCCTCTTTTCTTTTTGAACGTGATTCTCTCCCCTTTATTTTGTTACATGTCCTTTCTTTTTTCAGACCTACAGTCACGATACAATACTCAGTTGTATCAAATAAACGTACAGCCTCCGCATTTCAAACTCGTCCTCGACGGGAAAATGTATACCATCCCTGCAGTGAGTACCTTATGTTTTATTGCTTAACGACATACTTGTGTTTGTCTTTAGGGCCCAAAAAATCTGTTTCAAGCGATGGTGATGTTTTTTCATCACTCTTTCAATGTTGACGGAAAGTTCCGGTAAGTTTTATCACGCTGTACACTATTCGCATGGTTTATAACACATTGTAGCCCCTTTTATCTGTAGTCAAGCATGGTTATTCGTTTCTTCAAGTGGCTTTCTAGACTGGACCGTGCCCTCGACTAGCTTGTAATATGTTGCCTTCATCGCAGGCCACTGGAATATATAAGATGGTCGGCTTAGCGATGATACGAAGTATAGACTAAGTTGTACGAATCGGAAACCTGTAGATTAGTTACCCCAAACTTCACACGCGGTCTGAGCAGAACAGTTGGAAAAAGACGCTTCCTGTATCCGTGATACTTTTGATGCAAATTAAGGGCAATAGACAACTTATTAATAAAAAAGCGCAGAACAGTAAGACGTGCGGTAACGTTCAGAAACGTTATAGCGTAGCGGTTCACTAATTGGCAGTCTGTCAAAGCCGAAATACGTTGACCTTGGCGACCCAAGGACATGCTAATAGTGCGAAGTAAAAGTGTTAGATGTCTAGTAATGCGATGTTTAATGCGCACATATGTAAGATACTGTATGAGAATGATGGAAAAGTTTGGGAATAGGGATACTATTTACTCAAACAGGAAATCCAGTTTGAGGGGTGGGGAAATCAACCTGTTCATGGCATGCAGCGTCTACGTGTAAGCAGAATCCAAGGTCTTTAGCAATACGTGACCTTTGGTCTGTGATCTCCCAGAATTCCACGAATCTCCTCAAGTTCACTTTCCGCTTTTCACGGTAACCCAAAACCATTGTGTGTATTCGCTATCCTTTCGTCACCTTACAGAAGTAATCCACCAATCATTCGAGCTACCCCTTAGCTACCGTAGTCGGCGGGTTTTGTTGGCTGCTTACAGCTACTATATGGGTGTTGGACTGTTCAGGTTTCCAGAGGACATTTTCGTTGCATCACTGAGACGTCTACGAGTGCATTTGTTTCATCATCAGTCATCTGAGCATCATATCTACGGTACTGTAATCTTATGTATTCCTATTTGTTTTCAGGTCCGTTAGCTTAGGTCCATCGGGCCTAAACGTCGCATGGATATTTTCGAAATAGCAAGGAGAAGCAGAAACACGAGTTACTTCCTATTTGTACCTCTCATTCCAGAATCGAAATTACAGATTTTTACTATCACACTCGGTTTTATCTGTGAGAACTATAGTGTCAGAATTTTCGGTTCTACTGATTTGTGTCGACCTGAACATGATGCTCCATAGACTGTACTCATCGACAGTTAGTTTCTACATCGAATTTGTATCCCTTGGTCTCATGTGCATGAAGCTCCTGTGCGTGCGGGCGAGGTGACATTGCAACCCCGTTTGGTGTTTCACTGAGAACGTAAGATTCCGTGCAGATAGACAGATTTTGGCACCTCCTATGCGGAAGAGACGAAGTCACTTTTGAATTGAGGGCTGAAAACGAATGAGTCCGCTAGCTAGGCTGCGAATACTGCAAGCAATGGGTGGAAGACATGGTGCAACGGAACCTATTCCTTCAGTCCGTTGTAACGGGGGATGCTGTTGCTCACTTGGTTATCGTTATAATTCGTTCGTCACATCGACATCCACTTGAACACATAGTATATAAAGTTTGCGGCTTGACTACGTAGCCAAAGGATAACTGGGTTCAGTAATTGGTGAATACTAAAATGTTTGTATAAATGGAACCAAGGCGGAACTTGTCAGCAAGTCAGAACTTCTGCATGCATACACCGCTGCAGTTAGTTGTTTTGCGGTGTGTGGCGCCTTCGATGTATCTCCCTTGTTAGTGTGACGTTCTACAGATCAGTGGTCGAAGTACTCTGCGGCCTCGCCGCACGAAGACCGCCTATGTGAAAAGGCTTATGATCCATTCCTGAAGCGCATCTTCATACAGCTGCTGATGGCAAACGGTGTCCACCAAAAAGCTTTTCTCTGATAAAGCTTCACAAACGCTCGTACAGTGTGATCGTTTAGTTGCAGGCACGAAGGTTCTGCAGCAAACTCATATAGTCATTTTTCCTGCCAGGTTAACTGAACGCACCATTCCGTATCCTACCGCGGCTATATGTTCAGCGGTAGTAGATGATTTCGGAATGTGCTTCTCACAGCCGGATACCGCCCAAAGAATCCGACAGATATATCACATTTTGAAAGTCACACGGAACGTACTCAACGTCGTCATTTTATTACCATGGACTGCCTTTATTGCGGCATTTATGCCATGAGAATACGGTGAAACTGGCAACTAGTTGGTGATCTATACTCGGTCCCTTTCAGAGTAACCGTTTTAAGCACTCATCTGCGGTACGGTGAGAGCCACTTTTACCGTTTACCTTGTTTTCTTTTTCGGCTGATACACATGTCTCTGTTTTGTCGGTCTCCTTGATAACAGATTTAACGCCGCGACCTCGCCACAGACACTTTCGTTCAGATTCTGCTGAAATTTTCGACTAATTTCGAAACCATTTGTGTGTCGCGGGTAAAATAGGAAATGTTTGACAAGACCCGTAGTATGGCTAGCATGAGAACCACGAAAATTGTGAAAACAAAATGATAAAATGATAACCATTATTCATACTCCCCTTGTTGTTTACATTTCCGTCACGACGAGACGGAACCTTCACGTGGTGTGACGGTGTGCGTACCTCGTAAACCCATTTAGGTACACAGCTCTTATGAGCTAATCCTACCAGGTTGGTCAATGGAGATCAGACAAACTCAGTCTTGTGGTCCTCCAGGTTAAGGGCTTGAAATGGGATGGCGTCCTTTTATGTGAAACCGAATTTTTGCCACATTTGCTGCCCTGCAGACGGTCAAAGGCTTTGGTTGAGGACACTAATCGTCCTCCTGTCTAGGCCTGGGCGCCATGGCAGTATCTTAGCCCACGTACAGCCATGACTTCTCCAAACTTCAATCGTATCCTGCGTCAGCCGTCACGCAGATTACCAAAGGTCACCATATCTGCTGCATACAGTAGGGCGGATAAGCGAAAGCATACTACTGCTGGCGCTTCCCCTCTTTCTTTTCCACCTGTTCCTCTTACTCCTCCCCCCAGTCCCAATTACCAGACTTCCTTCTATACTTCCCGGTTTAATTGACCGCAACCGCAATGTCACTGTAGTCATAGCATTTATAGCTATCTTTCTACACCACCCACTGGACACCATTCGCCAACAGCTCCTTATAAGTCCCGTTTCCCTGGCGGCGTTCAACGTTCGCACTCCAAGACAAATAAGCCTACAGGCCGCGCTCGCATGCACATTAGATACGTTGGATATTGACGTGTTGTGTGTTTGAAACCAGGATAAATGACGCTCACGGGGTTGATGAATTAACTGCGCCCGGTTTGTCTTCTCTCCTTTGGTTGCACGCATCTGGAGACGCTGATGCGGCAACTACTAGTCAAGGTGGTGTGGGTATTGTTCTCTGCTCCAAGACCGAGTCATCGTTGGTTGATTGGATCCACGTGAACAGCCGTTTGTTTGCAATTCGTTTGACGACATCAAACAAAGTTGACTCACGGAATAGCAGTAGACCGTGTTTGTTTGTGGTTTCCGCATATGCCCCCGGCGACTACAGATCCGATGCTGCAAGACACTTTTTACTACGAACTGTACACACTACGACGCAGTATTACCAGGTCTGATATCATAATTCTTGCAGAGGATATGAATGCTCAAGTAGATCGTCTGAGCACTTCGGAAACTTGTCTAAGTGGTAAGTATGAACTTCTAACGGACCGACAACGGCGAGCGTCTGCTACAGCTGTGTGTGAAGCACCAGCTGTTTCTTAGTAGCACCGATTTTAGACACAGTGGGCGCCGAGGCGCCACTTGGCGTCTTGTAGCTGGCCAGCAATGGACCCAAATTGATCATATTACCATGCTACAGGTAGCCAGGTTCCATCCTGGATTGACCCATCGCAATGAGGCTGGACCTTACCTTGGTGCGATGATTTGTGTGCCTCAGCGATCCATTGAGCTATATTGGGTGGTGCATTTTTGCACCTTCAGAGCCACTCATACCAGATTGGTCAATGGTTAGAGGCCAGACAAACTCAGCCTCCTGGTCCTCCAGGTTGAGGGTTGGAATGGAGGTGGCTCCTTATTCCTTAAAACGGACTCCTTGTAGCCCAATGCCAAACCCGCTGCCTTGCGGTCAGGTTTTTGAACCAAAGGCTTTGGTTGAGAACCCTAATCGTTCTCCTGTCTAGGCCTGGGCAACCTGACAGTATCCTGCCCACGCAATACTATGAATCATACTTCAAACAGTTTCTTGATGCTCTGGCCACCGCAGAGAATAATCAACGGTGCCCTATCTGCTGCATCGAACAGGGTGGATAGGGGTTTGGATGCTACTGCTCAAGCCTTCCCATCTTCTTATTCCCCCTCTTACGCTTTTTCTCTCTTACCGTCCCGTTCCACCTTCACTTTTATCCCCCCTGTTTTCAACCTCCCAATTCATGGCCCTTCCCCACCTTTGCTAGACTTTTACCTTCTAGTTTCAACTCACATGTCAACGCGGAGCGTCATTCCTATCCTATCGACAAGCCCATGTCCAACCAAACGGCCAAGCCCAGTTCATCGACTTCCATTTGGAGCCCTCGATCCTCCTTCAGATTGGCATGTCTCAATGTACGCACATTGCTACAAATCGGTCAACAGGCAGCACTTGCCCGAACATTGGAAACCCTCTCGATCGATATCTGCTGCTTATCGGAGACTCGCCTGCAAGACTCGAGCTCTGTGCTCACTCTGCGATCCCCTTCAGGTGACACTAGCAGTATTTTCTCATTGTGCCTATCCGGTGATGATGCAGCTTCGAGTATCAGCCAAGCCGGTGTTGGTATTGCCTTGAGTCCCCGGGCTGAAGCTGCTTTGGTTGAGTGGGTCCCAATCAGTTGCCGGATGTGTGCGGTCCGATTGGCTGGCTCGTTCAAAGCTTCGAACTCGCACGGGACTGACGGGTGTCTATTCATCATCGCTGCTATGCACCCACAAACTTTAGCAATGATTCGACAAAAAGACGACTTTTATCTCTAATAGAATGAGCTCCTTCGCCACAGAAGAAGCACGGACACTGTTGTACTGGCTGGGGATCTGAACGCTCAAGTTAGCAAATTATCCACTGATGAACTGCATCTGGGCGGCCATAATAAATAGTAATAATGGTGTAGGCTCCCGTAATGATAACGGTGGGCGGTTACTTCATTTGTGTGAGGATGCTCGCTTATTTCCTGCGAACACTAATTTCCGATACAGCACCCGCTGGAGGGTGACTTGGCGTCCACCAGCTATGGACGCAAATCGATCACATTACGATAAGTTACCCATGGAGAGACTGCGTCCAGAACTGTCGCTCGATTTGGAGCACATGTGTGGACACCGATCATGCACTTGTATGTGCTGACATGCGGATGCGTTTTGGCGGACGCCCACGACGACGCTGTGAGCGCATTGACACCAGCCAACTGACAAAGCCAGCTGTTCTGAATGCGTATCGAAGTGCGCTGACATACGGGTTGATTAAGCGCTCATTGGATACACTTGAAGGTCACTGGTCTCATATTCATCAGACCTTACTTGCAGCACGCAACTCCTCATGTGGTAAGTCTAATAGCCAACATGGATATTTAGTCTCTTCGCGGTCACTGAAACTTATCGATGCTCGCCGGCATATTCCTGCTGGAATCGGACACAATGAAACTCGCAAAGAGCTCCGGGCAAAACTCCGTGCCAGCCTGAAGAGAGACCGCGAATCTTGGTGGTCTCACCGTGCATCAGAGAGAGAAATGGCCGCTGTCCTTGGTAACCACCGTAAGTTATTCCGTCAGATACGGGAAACGGGCAGCATGAGACCTGGTGTTAGTAGAACTATACCTGTGGAGAGTGGACAGTCTATCCATAACTTGTCAAAACTCTTGGAGCGGTGGGCTGAGCACTTTGAAAGGCAATTTAATCGGTCGGAATTGTTAGATTTCTCGCCGGCCACTGATCGTCCCGCTCCCTGGGTTGTCCCTTTGGATCCACCCTCTCGCTCAGAAGTCGAACGTGAGATCGCACTGTTGAAGTTAAATAAAGCCGCGGGACCAGATGATCTACCTCCAGCCCTCTTCAAATTCGGGGGACCTGCGCTGGTAGATGAGTTATACGA